AAAATAAAAAAATAAAAAGAAAAACGTTAAGTTAATAATTTTAAACTTTATTAAAAATTATTTCAGAATGTTCTTTGCTCTTTATTCTTTGTTCTTTATTCTTTCCTTTTTTTTTTTATTAAATCAAGAAATTCATGAAAAACAAAAAAAAAGAAAACTTTTCCATAAATTTATATGAAATAGGATGGATAATTCGTCAATTATTTCAAGATATCATGTATATGATGGAAGTTGAATTGAAGAAAAATCGCAAATAATGGGATAAAATTGAAATTGAATGAGAAAAAAATTGGGTGCATACATTGAGATACCATAATTTTATATTGATATTACTTTGGAAAAAATCATACTGATAATTCAGGAAATCTTAGTGTTTATAGTAGGGAATACTCGGGAATATTTGGTAGTAATTTTTAGCGGATTAGAAATTTATTTGTTAAACATTTTTTTTTCATCCAATTTTTAAAAAATTTTTTTTTTAATTTTATCATTAAAAAAAAATTGTATTATTTAAAAGAAAAAGAAAAAAAAAAGCATCATTATTTCTTGAACTATTCTGAAAGATTAGTTAATAAGATAACATAACGGTATTTTAATATGCTAATTAAGTGCTACTTTAATTAACAATTAAAAATTTTCAATTCATTTGAAGGCGAAAAAGAATGGAGAGTTTAAATTTTGCATAATTTCTGTAACAAAACATTTCCTTTAGCATACTATAATATTGAACACGTGCAATGAACCCATTTAATAGGTCTATTCTTTAAAAAAAAAAAAAAAAAAACAAAATAAAAGAAATGAATTTTTTTTTCCTTTCTTTATATTTTAACTATTCTTTCAAATCAATGCATGACTTGCACCTTTATTGCATGCAAATTGCAACAGCTGCAGTTCGAACAAAAACACGAATAAAGGCAATTTTTGTAATAATAGCAATTTCATCTCAATTTTTTTTTTCCTCTTAAATTTAAAAAATAAAAAAATAGTAAGTAAATTAACGAATCCTCTCTCATTTAATACATACAGTTGTTTGGATAAACAATAAATAATTACTGATAAATTATCAATTATCAAATATATCTGTTATCATAAAAATTATCACAAAAGTTAATTAATATTATCATCACATCAAAATATCATATACCGTAATCTAAAACTATATAATGATATTATATTGCGATATCGCGGTAATTATTGCTTATAATTAATGTTAAAATATGCATAATTACTATTTGTAATTAATTCATTTGTATTTTATTAATGTTTGTATGAACATATTTTAGCATTTTTTCGTACCGGAAATAATTTTCAAATAATCCGCAAAAATTTTTTTGATATTATTTGAAAAGAACGGAAACTATCTAATTGATTTGTTAATTTTTTTATCAATAACAAATCATTTCCGTTATATTTCAAAATTTTTAAAGAAATTAAGGAAATAGAAAAAAAAAAAAAAGAAACGAAAAAAAAGCAGGTGCACTGATAGGTATAAAAATGAAAATTTCAGACAATAATGTCACAGCTGCTGCTGTCATCAATGATTGTATGCCAATATGCACTATTCATTGAAGAATTTCTTTGTCAAGAAATTAAACAAGTTGTCAGGATGAATTAACTTTTGCATAAGCAAATTATCAGGATGAATTAATATCCGGATTGCAAAAAAATTGCTTAAAGTTTCCGGATTGCAAAAAAA